GCTGTGAATTTAACAAGCACTTTGTGTTTTGACATTGTGATGATGTTGTTTGTTGCGGCAGTGGTGATAGTAGCCCAAGTGCAGGCCATCTGCACAGGAAAGGCAGTTGGCTAACTATCAGCGTAAGTAGCTATGTAAGTGTGGTTTATTATGGATGCTACATCATAACGCATGTGTCAATCTAAAGGTGTGTTTTAATAAATATTAGAAACACTTATCTTGCACCTCAACGTCGTCACTTCTAGAGCTTTGAATAATCTCCTCAGACATAGAAGAAAAGACGGTCCAACCCAAAAGTATCCAGTTTTGCGCTCCTCAAACGTTTTGAGCCAGTTGAATGGCAAGCAAACTGTCGAATTATGGAGAAGAAGGATTTCAGTACCATAAACCTCGAAGTCTATCCTTGCAAACCATCACTTTACCTTGGTATGGGATGGACTGAAAAATGCCTCTTTAGCAAAGTATTGTTTTTTTTTGTGTTGTAGCTAAATGTCTTTTTCTGGGCAGTGAGTAGACCTCTAGAGATCACACTAACAACCCACAGCCTTTCACCAGGGCTTCATATGGCCGGTTATGTTCGTGGACAAACATAGATCACTGTGGAGTGGACACTGTACAGGTATAGATTTTCAGGGATTTACTTTTGTGGGTCTTGGCTATAATTTGTAATTGGATTTTTACTGGCCAGGACACACCGACTGAGATTGAAAATCAGTGTGACCTACAATGCACAAATAATTCGAAGCCAACCAATTTCTTTTGATTTTAACTTCAACTTCATTGTGTTTTTAATGTTAGAACTTCATAGTACTTATATTATACATTGCTTCCAAATCTTCACACTATTTGTTTCTACAAACTATTCTGACAGTTTTGGAAGTCTTCAGTTTCTGAGATCCTTTTCGAATTCTGTATAGATGATTTTGACTGAGGCAATCCCAGAAAGTCTCCATAGAAAGAGATCCTTTCAACCAGCTGATGTGTGAGTGGAGGACGGGATTCACATTCTATTATTTCAAGGCTGTTGGCAAACATCACGAAGCTCTCCTCTTCAACAAGAATGCCAACAGTCACTCCTGTACTGACTCCGTTTGCAAGAACAGAACAAGCAAGTAGGGTAAAACATTTAATTTTTTGGGCCCAGTTAATAGGGGTTGAGCTATAACAATGCAGTGTGTGATGTCCACCATAAGCAAGTTGTAGGCACTGGCACCATCTGACTGAGGCTGTTTGTTGTTGTGAGAAGATAAAGTCTATAGTATATAGTAGTCAACCCCTGTTTTTACAGCTGACTCTTGTAGAAATCATCAAGAAAACAGGTGTAAAATAGGGCCAGTTCTCACTTTCAGTCAATTGGAAGTCATCCAAGCCGTGGATCGTGCGCCTGTTTACTACACACAGGTTTGTGGGTCGACAAGTCTATAATATATCAATGATACGCGGTTCACCAGACCCCTTCCACATTTTTTAGGGTGGGGTAAGGCTACGCCAGACTAACTGCTGCTTGTGGTAGGCTGGATTGCAGGAGGGAGAGAGGTTTTTGCCTTCTCGTCCAGTGTTGATCATGAGGGCGTCCAGAGTCACAATGCTTGACATTGACCCCGTGCACATGGCTAATAAACTGACACTGGGGTTTTTTAGGTCTAAGTCGAGAGAGGTGTATCTGGATACGTGGGTGGTCATGGCTCAGTCGTGGGTTATTGTGAGCATCTACAGTGAGTATGCCGAAGTGGATGGTCACATGGGGTCAATGGACCCTCACTCTGTCTACATCTATGACATCCTTACTTGCCAACCATGTAAATTCATTTTACTGGACACTTTGTTCAAAAATGCAGGACATGAAGAAGAATTGCAGGACAGAAACACTACATCAATTATTTAATATGCACACACAAAATTATGACTGTTTTGCATCTTCTCTTGTTTGTGTTGCTCCCTTTCCCAAGTTTCCCTAACATTATCGCTGCTAATTGCAAAAGGACAACGGTCAAGTCTCTCCACATCGTACGCATGCATGCAGCGAGCTATAGAAACTCCCTGCGTATGCAGTGACGCAGAGCGTCGGTCAGACGCGGGACAATAAGGCTCTGCTGCGGGACAGTGGGACGCCACTGATTTTTGCGGGACAGTCCCGCGGAATGTGGGACGGTTGGCAAGTATGACATCTCTCAGAAGACCGATGCATAGATCCAATGAGGTTGGAAGACAACAAATGACATGCACCTCCCTTTAATTACCATCAATTTTGGTGTCCATTACATGATTAGTGGTACGATTATGCAAGCATGGTATGAAGGACTTGCACCTGAACCATGAACTGGATTCGCTATGCGCATGCCTACAAACACCCATGTGTGCAAAATACAACTTCCATTCCTCACTGTTATTAAAGACCAAAATGGTGCATCTGCATTGTGAGACAGGTAAATAAGTATGTATATATGGTTAGGATCTGCCATTGATTTTGTACTCTCTTCCACACACTTTTACAGTATTTGACACTGGCAATTGGTTATTAAAAGACCTGCACAGAATCCTCCTTCTCTCAGACAACTCCCGATAGCTTCACCTAACTCCCTACCTCATGTCCACTGCTGTACTCGTACAACACTGGGACAGAATTCAGTCTCTCATGTGAACTGTCCTTGTTGCCATACCGACAGCACATTTCAAATCCAACTTCCTTGGTATGCAGTAATATTATTGTGATGAATGATCTGCTCTTATATGAACGTGGATGTAAGTACATATGCGAACGAAAAATAAAAAGGAATTCACCTACCAGTACGATTATGCAAGCATGGTATGAAGGACTTGCACCTGAACCATGAACTGGATTCGATATGCGCATGCGCATAGTTATTGCGGCTGGTTGTTCAGCGCGCGCAGAGACGTAGAGATCGTCGAGCGTGGTCTCGGTGCAGCAATTTGCGGCCTTCTCTCTCTCTTGTTGCGTGAGTCTGTGGAGCTGGAGAAGTACAGGGGGTCTGAACCTGAAGAAACGATCTGGTGTCCAATGTGCTACCTTGCTGTGTTGACGGCCAGGCTGGCGACCCTCCTCTGCATCATCTTCAGTGTGCGTTTATATAAGACGGCCGCAGATTCTCGTAAATATAAAAGCTAAGTTGCCTGTGAGTGATGTACTGGGTCACTGTATTAGTAGGGGGGGATTGGCTGTAGCTGATGCATTTCCTGAGAAACTGCCCATAGTTGCCAACCGTCCAGGATAATGGGGTTCCAGCGCTTCTACTTGCGTAAGATGACCTCTTCAGAATTCAAACCATACATTTAGTCAAGGTTTCTTGGTAAGTTTACTGAGCTAGCTAGCTTTGGCTCTCCGCACGGGGCTCTGAGCTGGGGCCTGCGTCAACACGACGAGCTGCGCGCCTCAACAACGCGCCAGCGTATTAAGTGGGCGTGGCCTATATAAGGGGGCGGGGTCGCGCTGTCCAGGAATGTCCTCCGGAAAAGTTGGCAACTATGACTGCCCAACATTGGCATTGTATAATGGCTGGGTATTGTTTCCTCCTCTAGCTGAATGTATTGTGTGGCCAACTCCCATGTGTAGTTATACTGTGCTGCAGTAGTGGCTATGTGTATACTGCCCATGAGCAGATGTCCTTCAGATTATAAAACCATTGCCCTTTCTAATCTGCATTACCCACATTTTATATCAGTGTCTATTGTACTATTGCCAAATTTTATCAAGGTCGATGTACTATTGCCCACATTTACATATTTTATCATGGTCTATTGTACTATTGCCCATATTTACATATTTTATCAATGTCTATTGTACTATTGCCCACATTTACATATTATATCAAGGTCTATTGTACTGGCATCTTGGGATGACACTGCACATCTGCACATAAATAACATTAGGAGTAAAGGGAGCCTACCTAGTCTGTCTGAAATGCCAGGATTTGCTATAAAATTTGCACAATAGGTGTTCTAATGCAACTGCTTGTGTTTACTAGCCTAAAATGTATGCTAGGCCAAAAAATTGTTAAGTTGGCTTTCCTAGTGAAGGGAGCCTATATAGCCTACCTGAATAGTCTGTCTGAAATGTCACGATTTTCTATTAAGCACTGCACATGTTCTAATGCAACTTCTTGTTTTTCCTCGCCTAAAATGTGTTAAGATAGCCTTGTATTTTATTTTAGTTTAGTGTGTATATATAGTTAGACTAAGAAGTCTTCAGTTTCTGCATGGTATATACACCTATACTATTTCAACCTGAAACTCAGTGTCTTACTTTCCACCACAGATCCTGGCGGTGGCGAGGGCTGGCTACAGGTTTGAGATTCACCTGGTCCGCTATTGGAACCCCACGCACACCCTGAATGACGCACGCACCTGCTGCGAGTACACAGTTTGTAATGAGTGCGAGAACGCGTTTCGTTTCTGTGTCCATGAGAGGGGCGCCGAGAGGACCTGTGAAGAAGAAAACAGAAATGTAGACTGTAGCATTGGGTTTATCGAAACAAAACACATTCGTGACAATGACGATGACATTACTTTCACTGATGGAGGATCTGTTGGCACCACACTGACCAACCCTCTGTCTGTGACTGGAGACCTGTGGCCAGTGAGTGTGTCATTACAGTGGTGGTATGCTACTAAAAGCTTCACTCTCTGACTTGTCCCTCACACACGACCAACAGCTTGTATACCTGGCATAGCAGAGAATATTCGAGGGAGAGTTTCATTTCTGTAAACAAATTAGCTAACACCACAGCTATAGACCCGTTGCAAGTGCGTGATTCAGAATACAGTTATTATACATGTGGAGTCGCTGAGTGTTCCATATCACACGCTATTTATTATGCTACACTACCACATAACGATAATATTTTTAAATAATACTTTAGTGGATGTATTAATTCAGTGGCAAAGGGCGTGGTGCAGGGTGAATGTTTTGCCTATATAATATGTACATTCACAGTATCATCGTACTAAATACCTATATATTCTCCAGCGTGAAGTGGACATCTGTTGGTCGGTGCACGATCTCGATCACTCACAGTCGATAAATGGAAACTCTGACCCAGTCTCAGCCCGTATACTCCCGGTCCCACCACTGGTACCTGGGAACACCACCGAGGAGTTGCAGTTTGACACCAGCAACGCTCACATCCGCCTGCAGTTCCGTCTGGTGTGTGAGGACCCCGACTCAGTCTCGGACTGCTTAGGGCCGTGTGTGCCCACTGATAACGCCACAGGCCACTTCACCTGTGATCCTGACACTGGAGAGAGAGTGTGTCTGGACGGATACCAAGATCCTTGGTCTAGGTGTACGGTATGCATCCCTTCCGCCGGCTGCAGTGAGTTTTAACAGACATAGGGTGGGTACAGTGTCTGCTAGCATCATAGATGTATGGGGCTGCTATGGGGCGATTTGATAATATTCTGTTCTTCGTTTTTGGGGAGCAAAGCGACCCACCTAGTCTTAATGTAGAATTTTATCTGTAATGGCAGAGATGGATGCACATACCGTAATACTTTCTAGCATGAAAACACAACGCGAATTAATAGTGAACTGCTCACTTTAAATGCCCAAAATGTGTTGCATTCGTCTACTAATATACTTGCAGTATGTACAGTGTGTGGTGGGTGTTACATGTACTGGTCAGGGTGGGGTGGTGTATACACTTTAGTGGTGGGAATGAATGTCACTTCTTATGCCTTGTGAGGTGGATTGTAACCAGTGAATAGCTATAACTGAACCAGTATGCAGTACAATTCCTCGTAATAAATGTACCCATGATCTGTAGCCATGAATAACAAACAATGTAATTCCGATGCATCAATAGAGGGAAGATAGGGAATGGTCGGAGTGTATTTTTGTGCAGGTCCAGACAATGGTTACTGTCTGCGGGCTGGAGAGTGTCTGTGCAGGGAGGGATACTCAGGAGAGAACTGTACCGGGTGCCAGCCTGCGGCCCACTGCAGTAAGTTGCTATTCAGCTCTAAAAAATCAAGTATTGATTAAAATTGTCTGTTAACAGACGTGGTATTCCAAAATCTAAACAGGCTGTGATTGCTTAGATGTCTATGTAGATGCTGGCCTTATGCTGAGCAGCACAGGCATTTTCTCGTGACATCCAATAGTATCGCGAAGGCTAGGTTGGCAATAATATCGCATTGCCTGTTCGTGGTGCGTGCTACGAAAATGGAAAGGGATTCTCTCCTTGCGACGCGGCGCGGCACAAAGGAGCAATCAACGTATTGTGAACCTAGCCTTACCTACCTCCTAACTTGCTGCAGATGCAATAGTATCTCCTACCTATACATTCACTCTTAATTCCTGCAGATGAAGCTGGTGGCTACTGCACCCTGCCAGGGGAGTGTCTGTGCAGAGAGGGCTACAGTGGAGCGGACTGCGGTGTGTGCAATGCCTCAGTTGCCACATGTGGTGAGTTAACTTTCTCTATCTGGTGGCTGGCCCGCCATTGGTATGTGAGAGGTGTGTGAATGGGTGGAATGACACATGTGATAGTCAACCTGGCTGTATGCTGCCAAATTGCCAACCACACTGTCAAAGCTGGCACTGCCAACCACACTGTCAAAGCTTGCACTGAGGTGGCTAGCTGGAGCGGGGCTAGCTAAACCCACACCTGTGTGTCAAATGTGTACATACCAATATAACCAGCTTTAGCCTCGTCCCCAGGCCCCACCCGCGAAAGGAGAGGGCCTGGTATCCACTGCTTGCGCATGTGCGAATTTTATCGGATAAACCGTGTATTTCCATATATTTCGTGTGATGCCAACGTCACCAAATCCAGCTTGCGAAGCTAGAAGGTGACATTCTCTGTGCTCACTGCACCTGTATGGCAGGGTAAGTACATTTAGTTGTGTGTTCCGCTTTAGTAAATCTTGCACCTATATAGTGTTGTTACACAGTGTTTTGATACTGTAACAGAATGTACATATACACATATAAAAAAAATTTTCAAGTTTAAAACTCTCCTTTGCACCTCTCTGAGCAAAACCATTTGCCCCGGGGCGCATTAAAAATGGAACCACTCAATCGTGCATTGTGGGTTGTCGCAGGCCACCATCTGTCCAGATTCTCCACCATGACCCCAGCAGTACGTAGTAGGTGATGTGCAAGAAACCCCAGGTAGTATTTCTGTCTCTGGACTATGCGATTTGCCAGAGAGTGAAAGTGGTAGAAGAACCTTGATGAAGAAACGATCTAAAGCCGGCTTTGTTTCTGCAAAATGTGCTGAATCTGGAAGAATGCGTTCAACATGCATACCCTCTCCAACGTACAAAGTCACAATATTCTTTCTCGCATACTGCAAGCTGTCCTTGGACCTGGTAGTAGTACTGGTGGCCGTTCAGGTTCCTGGTGCCATACAGGTGCAGTGAGCACAGAGAATGTAACCTTCTAGCTTGGCAATCAGCCAAGCCTCATGGGCGTTATCTGGAGAACGTTGACTGGGATTTACCTAGGCCTCCAGGACAGCACACTTCGTTTTAGCAATATGTGACCATACTCGATCTTCGGCCAACTAGTCGTGTCCGTGCTGAATCTATAATCTGAAGAGTATGGGTCAGCTTCAAGTGAAAGGCCAAACTGTGTCTAGCTTCTCTTTGTATCGCTTTTTTCCTTGCCAATCCAAAGATTCAAAGTAACCACTCATTTCTCCTTGACCGTCGCACACGCACTACCACGCTTTTTGCCAACCAGGTGTGCGCTATTCAGAAGTCGCGGTTAGAAAATATTTCGCGCCGAACTTATGTATAGGATGCTGACTAGAGAAAACCATGTATAGTGCTAACTACAGGGTTGCAACTCCAGCATTGTACTCTGAAGTGCAAGGTAGCTAACCACACCTTCTGTAGCTTTTACGGGGATAGTGGTGCGATTGCATAGGTTCTGACTATAGCAACCATTGTAGCAAGCGTGGGTTGTAATTCCTGGATTACACTTTCTGAGTACAAGAAAAAAACATTTCTAGGCAGCAGTTCCAGGCATGAGGTACAAAATACCGAAGTTGCTTCAACTTAACCCACTGGACTGGTATTTTTCTGTCCCTAAACCAAGAAATAAAACTCTTTCTCCAGATCCTCAGTGTGAAGACAGACAGCTACGACTTGTCAATGGAACTACTGCCACAGAGGGACGAGTTGAAATATGTTTCAACAACACATGGGGGACTGTGTGCAACGACTTTTGGGACAATAGGGCCGCCAGTGTGGTCTGCAATCAACTTGGCATATCACCGTCAAGTAAGCATGTCTATGTAATCCCAAACAACCGAAGTCTATGTATTGCCACTGTAGCTTCATAAGCGCCACCATTGGTGCCTATAGCTTGGCATACCACTGTCAAGTAAGCAAGAGCAAAAACTGGCTATCACAATAGCCTTAGAAATGCCATAAATGTCACTATAATTATTATTACTTACATTGTAGTTGGAGAGGCCTATTCGGGGGCGAGATATGGACAGGGACAGGGACCTATTTATCTGGATGATATTGAGTGCTTTGGAGATGAAGAGTCGTTGCTGAATTGTTCTCACAGAGGAATCGGAGTTCACAACTGTTATCACGGAGAGGATGCTGGTGTACTCTGCATAGTTGGTGGTAAACAGCATGTATCCAAGAAATGGCTTAAATCGCATAATCGGTACTTGATATATTCAAAAAAGTCTGTTTTCAAATTTCTTCTCGTGTTGAATGTGAATGACGACAAAACGTGTTAGGCTATAGCTTAAGGCCACTAATGTTACTTAGGAGACAAGACAGAGATGACCTAGTGAACATGATGCAGTAGTACAATCGATGATGGCTACATACTTTCAACTGACATCGCTTGCTCGTGAATAATTTCCTCCACACAAGCTCTATATTGTCGGCACCTTTACTGTTTGTTTAATGAAGTGCAAGGACAAGTGAAGTGCGACGACAATGGTGGAAGGATTCAGTACGTATATAGCCAAGAACGTAGCATTGTAAAACTGGCTATATAGTTGATTCGTAGACTTCACACAATGCAGTCACAACTAAAAACCGAGCAGATGGTGTTACCTCCTAATGTGCTTATGAAATAAATCATAGCTGTGCATCATACAAGTGAGCACACTCATACTTTGCGACAATATTATAGGGCTTGTGTGGAGGAAGTTTTACATGAGCAAGCGATGTTATGTAGCCATCATCCATTGTACTACAGCAGCATTCATCCCTGTCTTGTCTCCTTGCTTTTTATGGCATCCCTATATTCCACACTTTTTTAATTAGAAGAATTTTAATATAATTGTTTAAAATTGTGTTGCATTAGTAGAAATAGCTAGTGGAGGCATACATTACTGCACAGACCTATACTGATACGGAGTGCAAAACTTGTGTCTCCAAAGCGCTGTTTTGCATTACAATGAGGAGAACACTTCACAAAATGGCATGATAATAATTATATTATTGTCCTTCTGTAGCTATGTGTGCAAATGGCTGATTATGTGAGTACGTCATACAAGATAGGTATCATATCAAAGAACTTATTATAGAAAAAAAAGAGTACAAATTGAAAGTTGATTGTACATCAAACCTCGTTTTAACTGATCCAGTTCCAATATCTCCCGGAGACAAATGTGATGGAGACGACGTTTTCAACTGTGGAGACGGTTCTTGTTACCCTTTATCCTTCGTATGTGATGGATATCCCGACTGTAGAGATGGATCAGATGAGGACAACTGTGACATATGTGAGATCATGGAAAGTCACTGTAAATTTCGTCAAATGAGATTTTGGTTTTTGTCTTCAGTTAAGCTCACCACTCCCAGTGAGCTGTCTCTGTATGAGGGAGGAAAAGAAAATTTCACATTCTGCTTGACAGTCACTGAGGACGTGGAAAATTTTACATTATTCAGGCAGTTTAGTATCGAGAGCTTTACGGTTGCTGGTAATTCAGCTAAAGGTATG